GGGTCACACACAGTATGCCCGCCACCCCAGGTCACAGATAGCAGGCCAGGATGGCGGCAGGGTAGGCAGGATGGCGCTGTCCCGCCCCACCGCCCCAGATGGCAAATAGCAGGCCCAGATGGTGTCGAAATGGCGTTGTCCCACCCTGACTGCAGTATGCAAATTAGCCATCATCTTTGTTGGCAGTTAATTTGCATATTGTGCTGATTAGCCTTTGGGAGGCGTAGCAAAGGTATGGTCAATTACCATGTTTGTCTATTACTAGATAGGATAAACAACCATCTACCCACCTTGGTATTCCCTGACCCCCTTCCTTCTTCACTTTTCTCCATGGCACACCTCCATCTAGCATTCCATTTATTTATCCAATTTATTGTATGTCTCCTGCACTAACTCCATGAGAACAGGGTTTTGGCCTGTTGGCTTCCTGCTCAGCCCCTAGTGCCTAGACCCGTGTCTCGCTCCAGCAGACACTCAGCACATATGTGTGGAATAAATGAGTGCCAGTAGGAAGCTGTCTCCTCTCTCCTCACTGCTTCTTCCTGACTTTTTTAGGGGACTGTTGTCTTAATTTCTGTGTCCTTTGTTCCTGGAGCTAGTCTGGCATAGTAGGAAAAAACCAGTGGACAGCCACGCACAACTCGAACTTACCATTTGGCTCTCTCATTCACAAGCTGTGTGACTTGGGACAAGTCACTTTACCTCTCTGAGTGTTCATTTCTTTGCTTATAAAATATAGAAAGCCTTCCTGCCTCCCACTCAGGATTGCTGGAAAGGTTCAATAGAATTCTACGTGAAGGGCCATCAAAGATAAGATGCGGTTTTCATTTTGCATGGTGTGTGGCCTGGCTGAATGCTGGAGCTTTACATATATGACTGTCTCATTTAATTCTCACATCACATCAGTGAGATACAAAGTCATACTACTGGATCCATTGTAAAGATGAGAAAACTGAGGTGACCAAGAAGTTCAGTGAATTACTCAAGAGTCTAGGCAACAACGGAGCCAGGCTTTGGACCCAAGCATTTTTATTCAATGGCCTGAGATTCCCCCCCATTATGTTCTCCTGGCACAGAATAAGTATTCTGATGGCTGTGTGGAGTAATGAAAAAGGTTCCACCTGAGGTGCAACTTTTGTCTGCAGACTGTTTTTCTCTTGACTGCTAATTAATGTGGCATTTCCCTGACATGATTTTTCCCCCCTCTTCAACTCAAACAGGCAGAAATTCCCATCTTTCAAAAGAAAAAAAGTATTGTCAGGCATGCCTCTCTCCTCTCCTCCCCTGAGAAGGCAACTCTATCACATGTCCCCTGAGGTTTTTGTCCTTCAGACTAACCAAGTCCAGATGGTTTTCGCAAGTTCAGACATCGTGGGTCGCAAAGCATTTGTAGTTATCTACTGAGACACGTTCTGGACTAAATCGTAAACACCCACTCCCCAAAGAACTCCCCGCACACTCTTCTCCCTTGTTTCTGCGATGGCCTGTCTGTGCTAATGCACTTGTAAATGTGGTTTAATTACTGTTTACCGAAAAATAGCTGCACACACATCAGTCTCAGCCCAGATGTTGAGACCATTTGTTTCTGAAGCAAAACAGCTAATAAATGAGAAGAGCTTTTTTTAAACATTGGGAAAGGAACTTGTGTTTGGTTTGTTTTATATATTTGGGGAAGTAGATCATTTCTTAAGAGAGTGGATTTAAATATTGGAACAGCACTCCCTGCCCCCCCCCCCCCCCCCCCGCCTGAGGCCAGGCACACGGTGATGTGCACAGAACCACAGTGTCATAAAAAGCATAATAATGGTGACTTGATGGAACACCACACCAAAGAGCTATATTCGGAAGAACTCCCCAAAAGGAAAACTCAGAATTGCTTGTAAATTCCGGCAAATGTTTCAGAGCCCTGTAAACCCATGTATTATGTATTACCTCATGTTTCTGAATTCTTGCCTCGGGCAAATTGCCAACTTAGCAACTAAATGACAGTTTGACAATTCTAATAAAAACCAGCCTCTCTTTGCTTGTATTCCTTCAGGAAAAAGAAGAAGAAGAAAAAAACAGAACATGAGAGGGGAGTGAAAGTGATTGGAAGCTTCAATTTATGAATTCTGTGTGTGCTCCAGTGGAGTTGGAGTTGAGTTTTATGCATAATAAAATTCAACTCTTGCGTAATAAGATGCTTGCCTGCTCTGTTCTCCCTGCCCCTCCGAGAAGCCGGCCTGGGAGCCGGAGAGGGGCCAGGTCTGCCTCCAGTGCAGACCTTGGAAAACCAAAGTCACCAGGGCAATTACTAAGGGTTGCTCGTCACGTCCTGAACTGTGGCTATTATGAAAGAAGTCCGAGCAGTGTGAGATGCAAACGCTGCCCTCCAGGAATTTATTTTAGAGGGAGCAACAGTCAGGTACACAGACAATTCAATATAAGAGACCCCAAGGGTGGGAGGTGGGGGCAATGGGTGAAGGTAGTCAAAGGCTGCAAACTTCCAGTTATAAGTTCTGGGATATAATGCATGGTGACTAGTTAACAATACTGCCTTGTATACTTGAAAGTTGCTAAGAGAGTAGATCTTAAAAGTTTCTATCACAAGAAAATAATTGTAACTTTGTGTGGTGGTTGGCATTAACCAAACCTATTGTGATGATCATTTCACAGTATATACATATTATTGGGTTATTATGTTGTACTAGAGGCCTGCTGCATGAAATTCATGCAAGAGTGGGCCTTCCTTCCCCCGGCTGCCAGCACTGGCTTCCCTCTGGCACCCGGGACCTGGGCTTCCCTCCAGCCGCCGGCAGGCACCCGGGACCCGGGCTTCCCTTGCAACCCTGGCTTCATCCGGAAGGACGTCCAGTCGAATCGGCATGTTACACTTCAGTCTAATTAGCATATTACCCTTTTATTATTATAGACTGGAGGCCCGGGGCACAAAAATTTGTGCACTCGGTGGGGGAGGGGTCCCTTAGCCCGGCCTGTGCCCTCTCACAGTCTGGGACCCCTCGGGGGGTGTCCACCTGCTGGCTTAGGCCTGATCTCTGGGGGGCTGCCACTCCCACACGCTGACACCGCCAGCCCTGTTTGCACCCACTGACAGTGCAGAGCGATTGGGGCCGGCACAAAATTATACATTTTTAAGCGTAAAAATATCTATGATGTTACATCCGGAAGGACGTCCAGTCGAATCGGCATGTTACACTTTTATTATTGTATACTAGGGCCCAGTGTACAAGGAACTGTGGGCTACGAGGCTGCAGTGGGCACAGGGGCTGGTCTCGGCCCATCCTCCTCGTCCCCACCTGGCCTGTCCTACCGTGGCCCCCGGTCCCCTGTCTGCCAGCAGCCCCGCGCCTGCTGCTGCCACTACCACATGCTGACAACGCCAGCCCTGTTTGCACCCACTGACAGTGCAGAGCGATTGGGGCCG